AAGAGTGGGAAAAAACAGACCCTTCTGCAGAAGGCTAAGGTAGAACCAACCCTGCATAGCAACAGTTAAGTGCTATGCAGAGGAAGCTGAATCCCACATGTCTGACCAGGGTTCAAGAACCAGCCTCAGTCCCAGCCGCTTAAATACCAGGCATGTGTCTGTATGCCCAAGAGCCTGACAAGAGGAGAATTGTATAGCAGCAATTAAACACTACGCAGAAGCTGGCTCCTACATGGCTGACCAGGGTTCAAGTACCAGCCCTATCTCCTTACGCACAGACATCAAGTATTGTAGCATGGCAGGGCCCTATCAGGGGTTGCCCACCTCCATCTTTCACATGCACAAACATGTATGCACACATTCTCTGGTAAAATGAAAGAAAAAAAGGCCGGTCCAATAGTATAGTGGTTAAGTGCTGTACATAAAAAATTGGATCCCACATGGTCCACTGTGGTTCAAATCCCACTCCTGGCAGCTTAAAAAACTTGCAGGTGGGACCAGCAGTTAGTGTAATGGCTATCTCACTGGACTCCCACGTAGTTGATCGTGGTTTGAGTCCCGGACCCGGTGGCTTAAACTCACACCGGGCACGTGTGTGTGCGTGCCCAAGATCCCGAGAGGAGAATGGAGAAGGGATTGCGGAGTGGCTATCCCCTCTGGGGAGGGATTTCTCGCTTTCTATCTCTCTGTCTCTCTCTGTCTGTCTGGCGAGCGCACGTACCCTATAGCAAAAACATCTAAAAAAAAAAACAAAACAACTTGCAGGCGTGCATGTATGCATGTCTAAAATCCTGTCAGGATGGAGAAATGGAGGAACAAGGATTGCTGTGTGACCACATTTCACTAGAGGGTGCTTTCTCTTCTCTATTTCTCTCTCTCTCTGGCAAAGGCACAGGTCCTCTAGCAATGAAATTCAGGAGAAAAGAAAAAGGAAAAGAAAATGGAAGACGAAGAAGAAGAAGAAGAAAAAGAGAGAGAGAGAAAGACTGTGGTGCCCCTCTGCCCACTTACAATTTCAGAACTGTCGGAAGGAGTGACGGCTGAGTCAGGCCCCTCAGTGGTGGTCTGGGAGCTGTCACTGATGGGTGAAGAGGCCTGGGTCCCATCGTTCAGGTCCATGGCAGGGTCAGATGGGACTGCACTAATCTGGCTGGAGCTGTGGCTCAAGATGTCCTCCTCATCTCCATCAGTGGCAGCACTTGTCAAGTCACAGCTAGACAGATCCACTGAGTCTGCCTGTAATGTGTGCTGTGACCGTGGCTGCTCAGTAATGATGTCATGACCAGCAGACCCGGGAGTGGAGACCCCTGAAGAAGCAGTCAGTTCTCCACCAATCTCACCTTTCACTGAGGCTGATGACACAGAAATATTCATTTGTAAATGGCTGAAGAAAACATTCAATAAGAAATCAAAGGTTCAGAAAATACTGGGTCGTCAGAAAAGTCATGATGTGTTTTTCTATGCAAAAATGCATCAAGACTTTTCCGATGGTCCAATAAAATCTTCACTGTCATCAAATGTTTTAACTATAAAAGAGCCTGAAATAGAGTGAAAGTACGAATGATAAATGTCCACAGCATGATGACATGCATCTTTCAAACATTACTTATATCAAAGAAATGCCTAATCAGTATATATTTTTAAGTGTTATTAATACACTTAAATGGTATTTCATAGCAAAAACTGAAGTTCAAAGTTCTTAACCAGTCTTAGGTGGAACAACAAATAATGAAATTTAGAATTCAGAGGTAGCTTGATCAGGAGCCAGAGGCTGGGCAGTCACAAACACCTAGGTACTCTAAGCAAGCAATGGTCAGATATGACAGCAAATTCAAACATCTTTTTAGGGTAGACTGACCCCTACCAAGTCCTGTTCAAGATCTCTAAGCCAGTCCTTCTCTCCTATGGGAAAAATTTACACTGCATTTTCTTAGTTTAAATTTTCATTTGAAATACTACATAAAAATCACTATAGGGCTAGTCCTGTAGCCTAATGGCTAAGGTAGCCAAATCTCACATGGCCAACTAAGCAGTTAGAATTCCAACCCTAGTACCTTGAAAAATATGCCAGGATGGGCCAGCAGATGGCATGGTGATTAAGATGCTAGACTCTCACATTGCTGACCATGGTTCATGTCCCAGACCTGGTGGCTTGCTTTCTTACTTTCCCTTTCTCTCTTACCTCTCCCTGGTAAAAATTTAAAAATAAGTAAGTAAATAAATAAATAAAATAATTATTTAAAGAAAAAATAAAACATGCCAGGCACGTGCATGGGCATGCCCAAAATCCCAACAGGATGGAGGAATGGAGAAGAGATTGAAACAAGACCACACCCCACTGGAGGGTGCTTTCTCCCTCTCGTGTCTCTGTCTCTGAGGAGGACATATGCTTTCTGGCTCATAAACAAAAGCAAAAAAAAAAAAAATCACTACAAAAATATCAATAGCATATTGATAACAGTGGTCACTCCTAGGATTGTCTGGTCAATGAAGTTATTAGACTTGAACTTTAGTAACAGTGGGCAGTTGCAATATTTCTGTTGTGCAACTTTATTTTTATAATCAGGAAATAAATCTATTTTTATCATATAAAAGAAAAAATATTTGCTTCTGAAACTATTCAGAATTTCCTTCCCAAATATTTTAGCTTTATTTTCAGTTATCTAAAAATATTCTTTTGGATAACATTATACAACCCAAATCACCTTCATTTAATCCAGTTATTTGTGTCTGAAATCAATACACATCTTTTACAAAGAATTTATTTAGATAACTATCTGTAAACAAAGATCCTTTTGAGTTAAGCTATCCATAAACAATTCTTCATCCCATTCCTCCCACCATGACCCACTCAATTGATAAGACATTTCTACCCATAATCCCGTTTCCAAAAAGACGTAAGCTCACAGAATATAAATCTAACTTTAAAACAGCAAATATGTGATACAGATACACACTTCAAAGCAAATATAAAAGAATATAAGAATATAAAAGAAGCCCAAATTGTCAATTATTTGAATAAACTGGCACTGTAGTTGCCTCCAGTAGCATCACCTGCAGGGAGGGGTGCAGGGAGTCGGAGCAGACATGGACAGGAAATAAATAAATGAGCTGCTAACTAACCTGCAAAGGCTGAGCTGCTGACGTCTGACCTGGACTCAGAGTCATCGTCCAAGGCCTCCTCTTCTCCTAAGAGCACTTTTCCTAGTAAATAATGTAGGAATATTCCTTTTCAATTTGCTGTAAATAAGGACTTTGAAGTTTATCATAACTATTTTTATACATTCAGAGTGTAAAACACAAACAATGTAGGGATATATTTAAAATACTACTGAAATCAATACACTTGTGAAAAAAAGTTAAAAGCAACGATTCTCGAACTGTACCACAAAGTATTTTAATAATTAATACATAATGACTTAGATTATCGATACTATTAAATATTAAAGAATATCTAGTAGAATATGGATGAAAGATCAAATTCTATTAGCCCTTGAAATATTCATATCATTATATCCAGTGGCACATCAAAATGTATATGAAAGGACCAGCAGTTAGCGTAATGGCTATGTCACTGGACTCCTATGCAGTCGACCGCGGTTCAAGGCCCGGACCCGGTGGCTTAAACTCATGCCAGGCGCATGTGCGTGTGTGCCCAAGATCCCAAGGGGAAAATGGAGGAGAAGGGATTGCAGCACGGCCATCCCCCCTGGGGGGTGATTTCTTGCTTTCTGTCTCTCTCTGTCTCTCTGGGCAAGCACACATGCCCCATAGCAAACCCCCTCCCCCCCCAAAAAAAGAAGAAAAGTATATGTAAAACTTTTATACTTAAAGGTCACTTTCATTTTACTGTCTTTTATTTTTCTAGACTCTATGTTTAATAATCAGAACTCATGCATTATGTGATCTGAGATGACTGAATATTTTTATAAGGTTCTAAGAATACATTTTATAGTTTATGTTCAAAATTACATTAATGACAAAAGAGAAATAAGAAGTTGTAATATAATTTAACTGGATTCATTAAATCATTATGAATGTATATAATTTCATTAAATGACACTATTAAAATAATTATAAGGGGGCCGGCCCATGGTGTGGTAGTCAAGGCAGCTGGATCCCACATGGCCAACTTCATAAATCTGAATCCAGGACCCAAACTTTTGAATGAATACATTCACATGCACCCAAAAGCAGGGAA